ATACAACAAGCTCGTGGCAAAGAACAAGCTAGAAAACAAATATCAAAGCTATATAAACCACCAAAAGGGAAGAAAATATTTTCAACATATTAAATAAACTTTTTCAGGTAAACACACCCGTGTTTATCACTGATCTTTTTTCCATATTCCAAAACCTGCAGAAGAGACATGCTGTCTCTCACCTTTACTATCACATTCTAGCACGATGACTATAAAGGAGCTCATCACAGCTCCATCTTTAAGGCTACACACAGTAAAAGCAAAGCAAGTGTAAGGGGAAAAGCTAAAAATACACATTTCAGAGATATTTTGTATCTCTAGACCTAGAGCTGAGTAATGTGTTTATACAAAGGGCTGGGGTCCCATTTTGATAGGGAACACTTGGACTTACCACAGTATAAATAAATAAATATGGAGATTAAAATCTTTCTTATTTTTATTACTGAGGCTACAGTTGCCTACTTACTTAATAGGATACTTCTAAACAACTGCCTCAACTTGTATTATTCTTTGGAAAGAATATGACTGAAAAATATTTAACCAAATGGATTAGAAATGGTAACATTTAACTATAAACCAACCAAATTAGGGTTACAATCCCCCTTAGTTTGGCAACCTGCTAAAAGCTCAACTTGCTTATTTTGCTACTGCTACGCGACAATACATCAATTATTCAAGAAGCAGAAGTGTTGGAAACTCCACCAAACAAACAGGCATTAGCACTGTCAAAGGGAGGATCTGGGTGTTCTGCAGCAAAGTACTTTTGGCTGGAGTGGAAAACTGTTAATCAATCCTGGTGCTTGGAAGCCTTGAAGAGCTTTGCTTGACATTTGTTTAAATGGGACATTTGTTAAGTTTTTCACATAAAAAATATGGCCAACCTTTCAGTTGTTATAATTGGATGGAAGCCTTTGTCAGACTATTTCATATATCAAGTTTAAAGAATGCTTCCATGAAACTGACCTCTTCTAGAAAGTGCTTGGAGATCTACAGATGAAAAGGGCTATAAAGGAAATAGGTATTACTGTTTTTTTTCAAATTGGGTGCATCTACGCGTGCACATTTACTGTGCAGTAACCAAAATTACTGCGCAGTACAGGTGTGTGTCTATACATGCACGTCTGTACTGCACAGTAAATATGATGCATTGCAGTAATGTGGACATAAATTTGATACCTGCATGATACAGGTATCAAATTTATACCCAATTAGTTACTGTGCAGTAACACACATGTAAATACCTTACTGCACAGTAACACTGGGCGTGTGGACTAACTTGGGACTAACTTATTACCAAGTGAATCCACACACAATGTTAAGGCACTTTAACACCTGCACGTGTAGACGCCAGCCTATTCCCACTTAGTGCGCAGTAAATTTAATCTGATGTAAATGCACATAGAGATGTGCATTAGGTAGACGTGCATGTAGCCCATTAGGTAGTATTTTCTATCTAGAAACAAAAACCGTTTTTAACCTTGAAAACAGGAGTCCCTTGACACCCTTCTCCCACAGCTATGCCACTGCACAGTTGTAGCAGGGAAATGTGAAGCCAGAAATAGAGGTGAGCCACTGGTTTAGCCAGACCCAAGGCCAACCCACAGCACTACACTTCCTGAGAGACCATATGGCAATTACCACTATTTTTTGGAAGGGCCACTGAAAAAAAAACACTTTCAAACAGTCATGGGAAAGGGGGAGAAAGGCCCAACATCTTCTCCTGCTGCAAGTGACTTTCATACTGTGCTCGGTGGCCAAATAAGACCTCAAATGAGGTGAAAGACAGGCTTCTAGGAATAGTGCAGAGCTGCAAGGATTCCCAGCACTCACAGTGGCATGGAAGGACAAGCCCACTACCAACATTAGCTCACTATAACTTACTCCCTAAACAGATTTCAACTACTGCATTGACATGCAAGTTAGAGCAAGTATATTTCTTTACACTTAATCAGCTGTAACAATTTCTTTCCCTTAAATAGTGTGCCCCATGATCTCCAGAGTAATTGAATGTGCAGATCTGTTATCATATGCCCATATACTTGGACTGCCCTTGCAGTACAGAGAGAAAAGAACGCAAAACCCTTGGCGTTCATAGTCTCAACATTTACTCCCCAGACTAGAAAGGGCTGCTGATAAAGTTACAGTTCTTCAATCTCAAACCATCCTATTAACTCCTGTCCATATTCTACCATATCTACAGTTCTGATCTCCAACAGGCCATATGTGCAATAGCAAACAAATCTTTAAAATATAAAACAAAAATATTGAATTCAAATAGAACTTACCAATCTTCTGATGGAAAATCTTATCAAAGGTTAATTCTCCTCTCTCCTCAAGATACTTCTGCATCACACTGCGGATACTGAAATACAAGAAAAAAAATCCAAGAGTGGAATGATCACTTATTTTTAATAAGACAGTTTACAAACCTTGGAAAAAAGAATAAATGAAGTTAAAAGGAGGCAGAGGCAGGTACATGAATGTAGTAGGGGTGCCACTCTCTACTCGGCTCTTCAACACCTACTACAGCAGATAAAGACTGCTGCCTGATCCAAAATCCATAAAAGCCAATGAGAACCTTTCCACTGACTTCGACAGGCTTTGAATTAGGCCTAAAGCAGCACAAGAGGAGACTGGGGGGAAAAAAAAGTAATCCCATAGCTGGGAGAGTAATTGAAAAGCTGAACAAATTCTGCCATCTAATCTGTAGTACTCAACATGGCAATTTCTTTTTTTTTTTTTTTTTTTAATATCAAAAATTCATTCCAAGCCCTGGAAAACTGGACTGAAACTGCTCATGCAAAATCCTTCTCTAAATGGTGATTTTTTTAAAGACTTGTGAAAGCTTAACAAATTTTGGGGAGAAAATAATCTATTGTAAATAATGTTATTACATTTTTTTTTAGCTCTAACTAAAGGGAGTAGCTGAGCATTTATGCTTGGAGTGTGCCAGGCAAATTACCAAAGCTGAGTGGTATAATTTTGTTACAATTTTCAGTGATAAAACCCATACTTTTCTCCTAATGGTTAAATATATCATATCTGAGCATATAAAGGATGAAACACAGTAAGTCTGCATGGTTCCACAGCAGGTTCAAGATAAGTAATATGGTTATAGCCCTCTTCACCTATATTTTTGCCCAATGCCAGGTTGTGTGCGAATGAAGGAAGCAGGTTTTTTTCTTTTTAATGCAATAGTTAGATTGCATGGTCAGTTCCTATTCAACATGGCCGATAGCTTTCCACTCAGCACCTTCAGCCAGGAGACACTTTGGATGTGAGGGTAGGCATTGCCTTAGCTGTCAAACCTGCTGCAGATTTTCCTTGAAATGGAAGAAGTTAGGGCAGGGGAGAGTGCAAGTACTACGCCCATACCAGGCGTAGCAGAAGTGGCCGAGTCTTCTGACTACAAGCCAAACCCTGTCACCTCTTTCTAGTTACCTGCACTAGGGACACCAGGTATATGCTAAGACGAGCTCAGTCTGGCTGTAACTTCACTTCACTTCTGCATACAGACTGGCATTACTGTCTGTCTGTCTTTCAGTTTGGATTTTTCTTTTACTGTCCCTTTCTCTCTCTCTCCAAAAACAGGATATTTTAAAGTATTTCATTTAAAATAAGGAAAAAATGCTGGAGGTTTTGCAGAGGTACCTTAACTACCTCACACTGCACATACTGCAAATCAATGCAAATATTCAGAAGTTTAATAAGTAGTATGCATAAAACCACACATGTCTAACCAGGGCCATCTAGCACTGTTACGGGACTCTTAACTTCGGCTTTTCCTAATTTATAATTTAAATTTGTGACCCTGACGTTGTGTTAATCCAGTTTTGATTTGTGCTTTTACCTATACCATTTGGTATCTATTTTTGAAGACTGTGGTATCACCCTAACAGTTCAATGGAAAAAAGTACTATATGCTTATTTTACTACCACCTACAAAACAAGTATAGTTTCTTTTGTAGGAAAGAAAAACAGCTGGACCGAGTCACACGACTACTGAGTCCAACAGTTACCTATTTGCAGTGGATTCTGCAGGCAAGTGTTAACAAGCAAAGAAACCGCTCTCATGTAACTTTTCCTTGTTTCTTATAAAGCAACAGACACTTTTAGGTCCCCCTATTTTTAATTACAAAAAGCTAATACATATTACCGCTTGGTTCCATCAGATTCAATCAGGCCCCAAATTAACACTGCCAGAAGCTGCTCGCTGATTGTACTGGAAGCAGAGTTGGATTCTAAAAGCTTAGTCCTTGTACAGGCAATTCCTGGAAGACGAACTGGTATGTCAGGGAAAACTTTGTAAAACATACTCCCGAGATATAATGATGTTCGCAAAATACAGTGTATTGGTTTGTTCCATTACAACAAGCATCTTCATAAAAATAGATCATCCTCACTGTGATTCTCTCCTGCTGAGCCATCAGATGATTGCTTGTATTATTCACATGCAGGCTGCAATACCAGGTCCTACAGCTACAAATTCCCTTTGACCTCAGAGAAAGCACTGTCAAATGTTGAGGACCTGCTTCTTATGTAAACCATCATGCCGCTAGAATTAGGTTTTGGATGATAAATTACTCCAGGCAGGACTCAGTTCTTTTATCCATAAAGAGATGGGCTACATAAATTGCTGTGGTGGTGACGACAGAAACAAAGGATTACGTTTTCAAGTGAAGAAAAAGCAGTTGGCACTAGCTTTTGTTTTCATGCTCAAGTCCTCAGAAAAAAAATATAAGATTTTATATATATAGCCATATACATAAAAACTTCTTATATTTTTTCTTATATACCTATCTAAATATAAATCTTTCTATTTTTCATATGTACACACACACACACACACACCATGCTTGATGGAACTAGGATGTTATCAAAGTTTTATTTACTTTATCAGCTGCTCTGTAAAATATTCTAACTTAACCTTTTCACAAATAAATTCATTTCAAAGCAAAACATTTAAAAAATTCCCCCCCCCCCAATAAAATGAAATCAATGTTAGCAAAATGGCTTTGGTTTTACTGATATGTCTACATACAATACAGTGCAGACTGAAAAACGTTCCTTGGAAGGAATCTAACCAAAGTTCGAAGCATGCTGGGACAGTGGCAAAAGCATCTTCAGCATGCCTTCAGACCCTAAAGATGCCAGAGTATTCCCTACAGTATCATCTGGACATTATCTCCCCCAAACTGCATGGCAGTTCCCCGCAAGGCCCACTTCACTTATTCCATCCTGCTTCAAACCCAAGAAACACTACAACAGAAGAAATGTGACTTTTATCACCATCACATTTTTCGCTCCATTCAGATGCTATATTTTTTTAATTCCGCCCTTCATGTGCCCTCTCTGCTTGGGCTTTAAGTCATTCAGTCTGTGCAGCATCTACCTACCGTAGAGAGCCCCTGTCTTTGCTGGGTCTCTACGCTTACTGTATTAAGCCAGATTATTAGTAATAACAAAGTTAAATAAAATATTCTCTAATGTATCACATTCACATAAAAATATTTTTGTCCCCACCATTAAAAAAAAGATACTAAAATACTAAAAGCGTTGTATGAGTACTGGACCAAAAATTCCACTTGTGTTACGAAAGAACTAATTCAGAGCTTTTACTCTTCTCTACGTTGTTATCTAATATTTTTTGGCCATCAGTTTGTAGTCAAAGTTCAGGAGTGTTATATGTCGCCAATTTTTTCAAATTTCTCTTCTCTCTCTTCTTGTAAAGAAGGTTTATGAGGTCCTGCTCCATTCCTTCCCCAGGTGGCCCTCCTGCATCCACTCTCCATGCACCTCCCACAAGTCAGAGACCTCCTGGTCCC